TTCAGCAAGCAAACTTTATCTAATGCTATGTGAAAACCGTTTTCAGTTTAATAGACCATTTTTATTTTTGAAAGACATTTATAAAAGGTAGAATTTACTGTGAAAAGAGAAAAAAGGTAACAAATAAGTTTATGTAAAGAACAATTTGATCATTTAAAAGTTTTTCCTGAAGAGAAACATCCTGGACAATAAAATATACAAATAAATGATTTTTAATGCAACTTAGAACCATCATAGCTGTCAATATACACAAGGTTGGAGACACTGGGCTAAGCACTCCATATGCATTATCTTATTTACTTCTCACAGCCTCACAAAAACTTGAGGTGTGTGCTACGAAACTTAGCCCAATTTGACAGATGAGTATACTGAGGCATAGCGAAGTACCTGATAAAGATCACATGGTTATTTAGTTGCAGAGCCAGAATTTGAACTCTTCTATTTGTCTAACACAAGCTTTGTGCTTCTTCATATTAATGCTGACCTCCTTAAATGTTTCAATTGAATACAAAGATCTTCCTAGATATAACATTATTTAAGGAAATAAGAGAGATCAAAGAAAATTATGTATTTAACTTTTTGGAGAGTAGTATTTTAACGAGTCCAAATGACCTTTACATTATTCTGCTTATAAATAAGAGAGCTGTCTGGACCAGTTTTGGAAAGTCCTTGTGCTATTTTCTGTGTAACTTCCACCAATGAATACACATTTTAATACTAACTGGTACATTTTCACATAAAGACTATGCAGAAAACCCACAAAAGTTAACCCAATAAGTAAATGAGAAGTAAATAAGCAAATGTAGTGACAAAGAACCACAAACATCATAAAAAGGTAGCCTTGCAGTGTAAGCAAACAAAAATGGTGCCAGTGTAGAACAATGGATATCTCTCAAAATATAACATTAATTATATAGGAATTCATGTATAAATGCAAAGTATTCTTTATGCCCACAGTATTTAATTTAGATGAAAAAAAAAAACAAACAACCCAACTCCAGATGGGAATACATGGTACAAATGATGCAATAATAGCTAAAATGCCAAGAGAGATGGGGAAGGTGGGCACCAGAAAGGACTCCTTAGTGGTAGCAGCTCATTGGACTCCTTAGTGGGAGGGGCTCACGCATCTGTGAGAAGAGCTCCACAGGCTGTCAAGGTTAGCATTTGTAAGGAAGACAGTGATTTTGAGAAACCAAATAGTTGCCCTAATTTGAGCTACTGATTTATATAAACACTGAAGATGGAAGACAATACTATTTCTTATCCAGTTAGCTGTGGAAGGTCATTATATCACTATATATAGCCATCACATGAAGAAATAAAGAGAATGAAGATAATCAATGGAGTGAATGGGGCCTTACTTGGGCTAATAACAAAAATTGCAGCATCCTACTTACTTGCACTGTGCATGATAATACTTTATAAGATTCTGCAGTAGATCCACACCCTTTTTGGTCTTGATTTCATTAACCTTAATGAGATACTGTGGAAATAAAACAGAATTTTAAGTTTAATTCCAGACAGGGCTCTTCAGTCACGGGTCAGGTAGCAGAACACCACTTGTGAATCTGAGAAAGTTAATGAGCCGTGGGCGGCCTCTAGACAATATAGGGAACGCTGATTTGGCACAGTCACAAAGTGTACAAAACAAACTGATTAGTATTAGCATTTCATAAATTCTTACGATTAGTCTATTAGACAAGCAAAATAAAACACGCCAAAACATTCCAGAATAACTGATTATTTCCCAGTGGTGCAATGGGTCTCAAACGTATAGTTTACATGGTCAAAAACCCAAAACACAGACTTTTCTTTGCAGAAAACAAGTAGACCATTTTTTGAGAAATACGCTGTGTAAGACATTGAAACTTTTGACCAAGGAGGTGAATCAGAAAGAATTTTTGCTATTCAATAATGAAAGAATGAAAATAAAAATAACTCATTAGTAATTTATGCAGTTAACTAAACACTACAGGTTCTGCTTTGCCCTACCAGCCAAGATTTTCCATTGACATTGTTTGCTTCCTGCTCACTTGTTTAAGGTTCATGAGCAGATTAAGTTCAAGGAGTCAAAGATTTATGAAAAAGAGGGAGGGAGGAAGGGAAGAGAATTAAGAGAAGGGGAGGAAGAAAGATTGATCTAGGGAAGAAAAACTTAAAATTGCAAAAATTCTCCATTTTAATATTTTCTGAAAACTACAAAACGAACTCCATTACTCAATAGAATGAACTCCATTACTCAACAGCAGTGTCCGAATGGGTTGGTCTCCAGGTCAAGGAGTGTTAAGTGTTCAATGGGAATTCAGTTTGAGAACCACTGCTCTAAGTTTAAGGCAGCATGCTTTTCATTGCATTTTTTCACGAAATCAGGCTTTCTTAACAACTGCTTCATTTAAGCTTTCATTCAAACTGGACACATGGTTAAAAAAAAAAAAAAATACATGCTCTAAACTTGTACCAGTAAAACTTACTATTATTCACCAGTGTTACCTCTCACCAATTTTTTCCCCCACCGTCACTCACAAGCAACATTAAGGTTCTCACCAAAGAATCCTGTTTTGGCTTAAAGAGCCCCGTGGGACTGAGGCTCACAATATGAGACAACAGTGCAATGGCGGGTTTCCAAAAGGCTTGGAGAAAAATGGAGATTAGAATCCTTAAGAAATAGTCCCCTTCTCTAATAACAGCCTGCCTTTAAGCATAAAGACTACTGACTAACAGGAGAAGATTACAGCTATTAAAATTCTAGGCAAATTATGGAAAAGTCATTCTTACTTCACACATTTGGAGCTGAAAGAGGCGCCTTTCCTTTTCCATTTCTTCCGCGATCTCAGCTCCTGTAATCTCTGTGCGGATCATCCCGTGCTGTTTTGCATGCTCTCTTTTCTCCTTCTCGATCTTTGTACTGCAAAATTAAAGCAGGTGTCGTTATTTTTTTTTAAAAACACACCCATGTGTACACCCCAAAAGTAGACCCCAATGTAAACTATAAACTCTGAGTACTAATAATGTGTCAATGTAGGTTCATCAGCTGTATCATATGTACCAGTCTGGTGGGGGTTGGTGATATTGGGGGAGGCTATTATGTGTGGAGGCAGGGCATATATGGGAAATCTCTGTACATTTCGCTCAAAAAGAAAGTCTATTAGAAAATAAAACACATTCCTGTCTTTCCTTTAATGAAAGTCACTGATCATTTCTTAATTACCGAAGTTAAGAGGCAAGAGTTCTTAAGTTGGTAGAATCAATCAGAAGTAAAAATCTTAAAGAGAACAAATGCACTGTATGGATTTTCATCTAGGAAACTCCTTACATTTTAAATTTGATTTTACACACGATACATTCATATAAATTCTCTTACATTTTGGTAAGTATGGAGAAATTTTGATAGTTTACCTTTTCTTGGGTAAAGCAATTTATGATGAAAAAGAATCAGAAAGTTGGAGACCTAAGCTTTTCTTGATTATCAATAGATTATGAGATTTAGAATTATTTCCAGATAAGTATATACTGGGTCTTTGTGGGTATGCACAAAAATTAGTAAAAGGTAATTTCTAATATTCCTCTAAATTTGAACTATTTCCACATCCCAATAACATATTTTAATCATTCAATCACTTGGCATTGGATTGTACAGAATAAGGAATGGGAGAAATTCCAATGTATATAATTTGGAATCCTATGAAAATGTTCTTGGGAGGGGTGTCAGGGGAAAACCGGGCAAAAAAGGCAGGCCCACATTAAACCCACAATACCTGAGACTAGTGCTTGGTTATGATAGATGACCAGTGGTAATAATACCAGTGTTCATAGCCCTCTTTCCAAAAATCCATTTAACTTGAAAATTGACTTCTAATTTCACAAAGAGCCTGTAATTAATAGTTGTGAATGCAAAGACTAAGTGATTTAACTTTCAAGTCTTCTTTAAGTTGTGGTGGTGGTAGGGGGACCCAAACCCCAAAGAAAGCCAATATCCTTGTCTCCTTGTCTATATACAAACAAGCAGAAAATTAACCCATCAACCCAAATCTACTACAAACCTGGTTAGGATTGACTCTAATACCCTAACGCTATAGGGTATAGCATGCAACTCTTTAATCATGCTACCCTGGCAGTCAAAGAGGCGTGATGGCAGGGATTTATTTTTATCAGAAAGGGAAAAAATCTCGGCTCTCTCTCCATTGATGTGGGTGGGAAGAGAAAAAATATTGGAGGGAGGGAGGCCTAACTTAATAATGGCCTTCTGATTTACCATGGTGACTTGACCACGTGTTTATTTCTTCTTCCTCCAGTGATCCCACTAAAATGATAGTAAATGCATAAAAAAGGAATAATCTCTCAAAGACAAGAAGAAATGAAGACAAAAAAGGATGGGAGAATTCAAAAAATATTTGAAAGAGCAGGTCGGGAAGTGAAAAGAAGAGGAGAGAAGTCTATACCTCAAACTATAGGGCTCCTTGTCTCCCTCATTTACATAGCTTCCAAAATGCCCCATATACAATCACTAGGCAGAGAGCTGAAGGACTGTAAGGCCTGGAAGACAGACCTCAGACATTGACATTTGGAATACTCCTAATAAAAGTGCTGTCTTGACATCTAAAACTTGAAACCTAAAAAGGCAGCAGAAAGGCTTCTTGACAAGTCTTGCTGATGTAATATAAGTTTTCAATGAGCCTTTGGGTGCCTTGCTCTGAAATATGAACAGGCACCCAAGGACTGTAAAATAATTCAGAATAGCTTCCAAAATGAAAGCGAGAGTGAGCAAAACAACAAAAGGGGGAAGAAGGGGAGGAACCAAAGGCAGTAAGGAAGCAGATAAAAAATTTTTTAAAAATGTCATTAAATCTTCAGCTGAAATATTGTATCTATGAAACAAGAAGAAGAAACTATAAAAAGGTAAAAAAAAAAAACCTGATTGAGCAAAAGAGCTTTTAGAAATTTAAAATATGATAGCCAAAATAAAAAAGTCAACTGAAATAGTAGGGAAAAAACAATGATGAAATAACCTAAAATATAGATCAAATAGAATATAGAAGAAAAGTCTAAGAACAATCTAAGAAGTTGAACATTATATGATAAAAAGTTCTAGAAAGAGAGAAAAAAGAAAACACAGAAAAAAATTACAAGAAAAGTTTCCAGACCTTAAGAACTAAAAATTGCAAATAGAAAATTTGCAAATAGAATGCATACAACATGGCACATGAAAACTCTTTGTAAAACCTTTTACAGAGAGAAGACTTTAACATTTTCTAAGTGAAAATAAACAAAAAAACAACCATGTATCACATACAAATAAATGGGAACCAGAAAAGTACTGGATTTTTGAAAGTTAGCAACACTGGAAATTAGGAAACAATGGAACAATGCCCTCAGCATTTTGAGAGAAAATGGATTATAAAGTTAAGATTTTATATTCAGCCATACCCACATTCTGTGTGATGGCAGAATGAAGTTATTTTTGGATGTATAAAAACTTGGAAATTTTACCTCCATTAGAGCTGTTATCTGGAAACTACTGGAGGTAGTGGGCCAGCAAAATATGGGACTATGCCAGGAAAGAGGAAGTAAATTTCAAACTAAAGCGAGTCAAAGGCCACAGCTGTACTGCTGATCTAAAGAGCTCTAGAAAAGGATATCTCCAGGAAAGAAAAGAAGAAATTGACATAATTTAATGACAATAAGTATACAGTCATCATAATAATATATAACATATTTTCTAAACAGAAATATTATTGATGGGTATCTGACATCTGTTGGAGCAGACAATAAAAATCCAAAAGAGATTCAAATAAAACTAAGCTAATGAAGAAATGAGGCAATTATGACATTAAGAAAAAGCAGGCTGGTAGCAGTGGCTCACGCCCTAGTACTTTGGGAGGCTGAGGCAGGAGGATTCCTTGAGCCCAGGAGTTTGAGGTTGCTGTGAGGTATGCGGACACCATTATGTTCCATTCTGGGCAACAGAGCAAGTCTCAAACAAAACAAAACAGAAAAAGAAAAAAATTACACTGTAAGAATAGAAATGTAATCATAATGCACCATTCCGATTAGCAATGAATGTTTATACTCATTAAAATATAAACACTGACAACTGGTTTAACCAAACATTGTTGTATTAACCATATTGGATGAACAGGGCTGGGAAGTGATGGGGTGGTCACACAAGGGAACTAAATCCTCCTCTACCATAGCAATAACATCACAGCTGAAGCAAGAAATATCAGCAAGAGAACACTGGAAAAAGTAGAGGAACTAGCAGGATCAGAGGAGCAGACAGGACTGCTATATTTTCATTAGAAGCACATTCGTTGGTGACTTAACATTCTCCCCTTCATCATTTGTGAAGAACCCTATAGTATTAGGTGGAGCATAAACTCAATAGCAAGTTTAGATTCCAGAAGACAATATGGACAGGTGAGAAGTGCTATTAAGGGCACCTGGTCCATCCTAGAATGTTCTGTATTCTATGATAAACTTCCACAATGGTGAAGTCATTGTTATTTGCGGTTTCTTTATATGTCAAAGTCAGTCTTATTTTGACCAAATAATATTTGATTATTAAAAAACTTAACAGAAACTATTTATTCAGTGACTACCTTATGCTAGATATTGTGACAACTGCTTCAATACATTATCTCACCTTGTCGTCACAAAAACCTTGACAAGTAGATAATTTTTATATTATTTTACAGGTTAAAGATCATCAAAGTTAAGTATCTTGGCTCAAGGTCACAAAACTGGTAATGATTCCTAAGTCTGTGTTCTTAACTATTACACTTAACTGACTCCCAAGTTCTAAATGGAAGACCACAGAAAATATCCGGCCTTCTCAGTTATAAAAGCTAATAAATTAACTTTTTTTGTATGTAAGTTGTTGGGTTTAAAGAATTCACCCTCCCCAAACTTCCATCCAAACCTCCTGTAGAACTCTTAGAGAAATACAGGAATGAAATACAAAAGGGAAACTTTCTTTATTGCTCCTGATAAAGACTACCCTTAAACCTCCCGGTTGTTCCCTAGGGAGATAAAGGAATGGAATGTAAGAGGGAAACTTACTTCCCTTGTCCTGTCCAGTAGTTTGAAAAGAATTTATTCACTCCTCCCAGAAAAATCCTTTATAAAACCCAAGGCTTTTCCCTGTCCCCTGTGGACACCTTTTTCAACCTCTACCCATCTGCACCCAGATGCTCAAAATACACAGTTTGCTACACGTGAGGCTTCGTGTGTCTCTCAGCTCCGGACCTAACATAAGTCATTTTGTTTTCTATGACTTATAACCTAACGAGTCCTATTATCAACAGACAAATGCTCGTTTCCTTTTTTTCCCCCTTCACCACTATACTTCAGTGAGAAAGAAGTTTATCATAGCAAATTAATTTGTTGACAGGGATTTATTAAAAAGGAAACAAAAAAAAAAAACTTCCTTTATAAGGTCCTAAAATCAGGACCCACTCAACTCACTATTCCTGTTAGACATTTCCAGGTCTGGATAATTCCTTTATTCCTTCAATAAATATTCATATAATGCACAAACTATGACTCTGCTAAGCACTGGTGGATTAATACCATACACAAAAACAATGTGGTTGCTGTCCTCATCAAGTTCAGATTCTTGAGGACAATACAGACAAATGAACAGTCAGACAAGTTCATATATCATGTGTGAGAAGTGCAATGAGGGGCACCTGTAACACCTTAGAATGCTTTATATTCTACCATTTACAGAATACTGACCACCAGATACTTCAAGGTCTTCAACACAGATTTTTAAAAATATAAATATAGTTACACCACTTAATATTGGTAGCACTTTAGTTGACAAAGCACGTATTATATCATGTTTTATCGTTCCTAAGTCTTACAAAGGAGGCATATCCTATAAGTCTAGAGCAAGGCTTTCTGTCCCTCCTTTGTGGACTTGCCCTGCTCATTTTCTAAGTACTCAGTTGTATTACATTCCGAGTGCAAGGGCAGTTGCCCCTGGGCTGGGGCAGTACTTAGCTCACAAGTGTGAGTATTCACAACCCCCTTTTCATACAGAAAAAGACTTCCCACAGCATTCATTAATCAAACTGATTAATCATTTTAAGAAACTTTTTTGTTTTCAGCTGCATTTGTAACTGCCAATGCACAAAAGTATTGCTAAAACAGCAAGTCCCCAACAATGCACTTATCACATAAGCAATTACAAAAGTAGTTTGGGAAAAACATATTTAATCTTACATTTGTTTTTCTTTTGCTTCTGTTTTCACTCTGCTGCTATGGCTGCCTACAGAAATGTTTTTATTCTCTTATGTTTATAGTTACCCAATTTTATAGCCAAGACTTTTATTAAAAGCTTTAAAATACGTATCTCCTCCCATCCCACCCTACTCCCTGGTGTTACAAACATCTCAAAGTAATAACAAAGGAACGTGGTATCACACATACAACATGAAGATAAGCCAGGCACCATGCAAACTGCTCATTGCCCTAATCTCTCATAATAACCCTATGAGGTCAGTGGTCTGACTTCAGTGCACACACCATGCTACTCAGGCTCCAGGGTCAGAAAGACCTGCAGTGCATGCCAGCTTGACAGTTACTAGCCTTCTACCCTTCTGCAAGCCCCTCAGCCTCTCTAGGTTTCAGTTTCCCTGATATATAAACAGAGTGAAGTGGCACAAATAGGTTGCTGTCAGGAGATCCTGCATGTAAAAAACACTTAACGTGGGTCCTGGCAGGCAGAAAGAAAGATCGCACAAATATTAATTATTTCTTTTACTTTTATTATCTCCCCATTGCTATCCTATACTGAAATGTAAATAGTTCACCATTATATGCTAATTATAATGAAAGAAAAGTGGCAACAATCATAGATCCACAACTTGACAGTCAGTATCAACAGCCATAAATGCTGAAATTACTAACAGCAAAAGTGCCTCTCAGTCTAGACAACCAGCACAGGAGATGCAGCCACTCTTAGTTAGGTCAGCATACCCAACCTTTTAGCCCTAACAAGGATATACTAAACGGTTTTTTGTTGAGAAGATATTCATTAAGGGCCCTGTCCATTTCCCAGTTAGTTTTTCTTACAAAACTCATGATAATATAAACAAAAAGAAAACTAAACAAAAAACCACTTACAACTTTGTCTCATAATCTTTCCAGGCTTTGTCAAATGGCTTCTTGAGATCCTTAGAAAAAAGAAAATTAAAATTGCATTTATTTTTGCTGAAAATGAATAAATAATTCTGAAATAACATCTTGGCAGGAATGACTTTCTTGCTAACTTTTACACAAGACACTTTCATGCACGTAACACCATTTATTACACACGAGAAGCCTGTAGAGGCAGGAAGTGAGCGCCTCGCCCTGGTCATGCCCATGAAGCAGGAGCCTAAGAGCTCTGAGACTCTCAGCCCACAAAAGAGCCAGGACTAGAGCTTGGTTTCTCTCTCCCACCTACTTGGGATCTCACCAATCTTCCTAAAAGTGTCTAATCTTGTTCCTCTGCCAATACCATTATGTAAAGTGGCACATTTTTTCCAATGATCATTTTCCAAGAAGATTTTCAATGCTATAAATGTTGAGTGCCTTTCAAATAGAAGTACTACTGTGATCTTAAAGGGAAAAAAAAATACAATCCTTTCACGTTAAAGTGGAAATCCAATTTCTGAACACTTACTCCTTTGACTCCTTTTAGGTCTCCTTTTAACAAGGAATCCAAAGTGAAGATCACATTGTGGCTCAGACCCTGGAGCTGAAAAACAAAGTAAAGATGGGAGACAGTTAAAAAAGAAAGTGCACATAGAACAATAAAACCAGCTACTGTTGACCAAGCATTTTCCACACACCAGGCTCTGTTGAAGGGCTTCACGTGCATTATTTCATTGAACCTGAATGCCTTCATGGGTTAAGTGGCATAACTGGCCCCACTCTGTTGCTGAACAGAGACAGAGGTGGAGTCACTTGTGAAGATCCACACAGAATGTGAGTAGAGGGATGAGATTTGAATTTAGACCTCAGAGCCTGTGTTCTCAGACACTATACTACAGTATACATACACATGTACAAGTAATTCCTCAAATCATCTTAGCACTGTCATTGACACCACTACTAAAATTGTAGATCTTTTTTTTTTTTTTTTTGAGACAAAGTCTCACTGTGTTGCCTGGGCTAGAGTGTTGTGGTGTCAGCCTAGCTCAGAGCAACCTTGAACTCCCGGGCTCAAGCAATCCTCCTGTCTCAGCCTCCCAGGTAGCTGGGACTACAGGCACACGCCACCACGCCCAGCTAATTTTTTGTATTTTTAGTTGTTTGGCTAATTTCTTCCTATTTATAGTAGAGACGGGGTCTGGCTCTTGCTCAGGCTGGTCTCGAACTCCTGAGCTCAAGCAATCCTCCCGCCTCGGACTCCCAATGTGCTAGGATTACAGGTGTGAGCCACCGCGCCTGGCCTAAAATTGTAGATCTTAATGTGAATTTTCTTCAACTGCCTCTGTCAGAGTGAGGAGGGGACTATACTACTGGCTTTTACCATTTCCTTTTTATATTCTTTTATAGCATGTATCATGGTCTGAAATTACCCTGTTTGGTTTTCTTTTTTTTTTTGGTTTAGATTTATCTTTTGTTTGAAAAAATTTTTATTTTTAAATGTTTATGGAGTTGTACATATTTATGGGGTACATATGAAATTTTGATACAAGCATACAATGTGTAAGATCACATCAGGGTAACTGGTATATCAAATCAAGGTAATTGGTATATCAAATCAACCTCAAGATTTATCATTTCTCTGTGTTAGAACATTCCAATTTCACTCTTCTGGTTATTCTGAAACACACAATAAATTATTGTAGTCACCCTACTGTGCTACCGAACACTAAATCTTTTTTCTTCTAACTGTATTATCGTACCCATTAATCACCCCTCTTTATCCCTCCTCTCCACTACCCTTCCCAGCCTCTAGTGATGTCACTCTACACTCTCGACCTCTATGAGATCAATTTTTCCAGCTCCCATATATGAGTGAGAACATCTGATATTTTTCTTTCTGTGCCTGGCTTATTTCACTTAACATAATGTCCTCCAGTTCCATCCATGTAGTTGAAAAACGACAAGATTTCATTCTTTTGTATGGCTGATAGATTTCACTGTGTATATATGTATTTTCTTCATCCATTCATCCACTAATGGACACCTAGGTTGATTCCGTATCTTGGCTATCGTGAAGAGTGCTGTAATAAACATGGGAGTGCAGACATCCCTTTGATAATACTGATTTTCTTGCTTTTGAATATATACCCAGCAGTGGGATTGCTGGATCATATGGTAGTTCTATTTTTAATTTTTTGAGGAACCTCCACATTGTTCTCCATAGTGGCTATACTACTTTACATTCCCACCAACAGTGTAGGAGGGTTCCCCTTTCTCCATATCCTCACCAGCACCTGTTACTGCCTATCTTTTTGATAAAAAACATTTTAACTGGGATGATATCTCATTGTAGTTTTGATTTGCATTTCTCTGATGATTAGTGATGCTGAACATTTTTCATACACCTGTTAACCATTTATATGTCTTCTTTTGAGAAATGTCTATTCAGATCCTTCACTCATTTTTTTTTGCTATTGAGTTGTTCAAGCTCCTTATATATTCTGGTTATTAATCCTTTGTCAGATGGGTAGTTTGCAAATATTTTCTCCCATTCTGTAGGCTGTCCCTTCACTTTGTTGATTGTTTCCTTTGCTGTGTAGAAAGTTTAGCTTGATGTGACCTATTTGTCCATTTTTGCTTTGGTTGCTGGTGCTTTTGAGGTCTTATTCAAGAAATCTTTGCCCAGACCAATGTCCTGAAGCATTTCCTCAACGTTTTCTTCTAGTAGTTTCATAGTTTCCGGTCTTATCTTCATGATTTTTATCCATTTTTATTTGATTTTTGTATATGCCAAGAGATAGGGGTCTAATTTCATCCTTTATCATACAGATATCCAGTTTTTCCAGCACCATTTATTGAAGAGACTGTCCTTTCTCCAATGTGTGTTCTTGGCACCTTTGTTGAAAATGAGCTAACTGTAAATGCATGGTTTATTTCTGGGTTCCCTATTCTGTTCCATTGGTCTGTTTTTTATACCAGTATCATGCTTTTTTGGTTACTAAAGATTTGCAGTATAATTTGAAGTCAGGTAATATGATGTCTTCAGCTTGTGTATTCTGTCTCCCCAACTAGCACCGAAGCTCAGTGAGGGCAGGGACCTTGACTGTTCTGTTCACACTTCTACCTTCAGTGCCTTGATTCCATTAGAGATACAAGATATTTGGAAAGTGCAATCTATAGCTGAGGAGATATTTTTTTCACTGTTCTGAGGCAGTGGCCTGGGTCTCCTTGATTTTAAGAAGGCACAAAGAGGAATCTACAAGGGAGAAGGAGATGCAGCTGCTAACCAGCTGGAGAGGAGTGGCAGGGAAACCAAGGCAGCGACAGTCAAGTGTGAAAAGAAAAGCAAAACACGGACAGACAAGAGTTTATAACATACTGTCTTCAAGGAGACCCCTAGTAATCTTGGTGAAATCACTTTTAGTAGCATGGAACCAAGACTGCAGGGACCTGCAGAATCAGATTAGAGAAAGGTCTGTGGGTCATTCAAGAAATAATTTTACTCATATGTAAGTGTATTCATTTGTCATTCTATCTATCCATTCATCATTTACTGAGTATCTACTCTGTGCCACATACTATGCTAGAAGCTGGATAGACAAAGTTGAATAAAACACTATTCCTACCTTAGAAAGCTTGTATTCTAGGAACAGAGGCAGTCAGTATGCAGCCAACTCTACTACCTTATGCCATGACATATTGTATTAGAGGCAGAGGAAAAAGTGAGAAGGATCAATACTGGCTGATGAGCTTTGTGCCTGACCCTTTTAACCACATCCATAAAGTGGAAGCCTATACCCTATTGTGAGCAGCTGTTGTGAAGACAGAAGGAGTTAATGTATGTGAAAAATGCTAGCTTACTTCCTGCCACCCGGGAAGTGCTAAATACATATTTTTAAAATGCTATGGGATGCTACATATGAATAAGGTAACGTGGGAGCAGAGAGGGATAGGGAACAGGAAAACCTTCCCTTTTGGTTCTTTAATTTCTCCCTAACCCTTTCCTGTTGTTCTCATCTTAGGCTTCCTACAGTTCACACAAGTCAGTCTACCTCTTTACCCTCCCTAAACATCAACTGATTTTACACACAAGGAAGGTTTTCCGATGCATACTACCAGAGGGCTTGGATCAGAAATAATCACTTATTTCTTATTTCAAAGACAAAGAGATTTCCACCAAGAAAATTCTGTCTATGTGATTTTGCCACCACCTGTACAGTCACCTATACAGAGAAACAGCCTGACTGGCAGGCCAGAGGGCTACAGTTTGAGAGCCTATATTCTGTGAGGGTCTAGGATGTTGGTTCTTAAGGAGTAGGGCTAAAAAAGCATCTTAGCTATGACTGTGGCCCTCCAAATGGCCACAGTATATAAACCAATATAAACTATTAATATATTGATTACTATTTCGTGGGAGGAGTGACTGGGAAAGAGGAATGTCTAAAAGGGTTCTTGGAGTAAAGGAGGAAGGTTGTGGGTAAAAATGGAGAAAAAAAAAAAAAAACGTTGAAAAACATTTGACCTTGAGAATGAGAGGGGAAAAAATAAAAATTAACAGGACCTACTCTCTACCCTAGATGGAGAGCTGGAATATTTTGCTCTGAGTCCTCAATTTCATTCCTGGGGTACGAGCCCACGGCATCCCCCTATTCTGTAGATCTTCGGAGTTTGTCTGGATCGTGGGTAATGAGGTCGCGGTCTGCCTTGCCCTCCACTAATCCAGCCAGTATCTACTTTTCCTCTGTTCATGAAGAGCCTTATTTTTCTTCAAAGCATTTACCATTCCTAACCATTTGTATTTGTATTTTTTTTTTCAGACCATGTCTCTACAGCATGTATACGTATTTGTTTCCTTATTTGTTTACTGTCTATCTCTCCAATTGGATTGCAAGCTCCTTGAGAGTGGGGTCTGTATGTTCATTGCTGTATTCCTGTAACTCAGAATATTGTATAGCACAGATGGGGTGCTCAAGAAATACTTGTAGAAGCAACGGAATGAAATACAGAAACGTGTGTGTGTACAAGGTTCTTCTCTATGGGGCTATTCATACAGATGGAAAGTTAAGTGCCTATCAACAGGGGATGGCTAAATTATGGAACTTTTAAACAACAGCCATAAAAATGAGAAAGCTCTTTATGCCTAACTTTGGAAGTGCCTCCAAGATAAATTTTTACGTGATAAAATCAAGTATAAAACAGTACTTAGAGTGTGCAAGGGTTTATATAAAAAGAGGGAAAAAATGTCTATGCTTAAATTACTTTAGAAAAAATACACAGTTTTCCAATGCTGGCTCCCTCCAGGGATGGAAACTGAGCAAAGGGACAGGGTGGGAGAGGAGACTTTTTGCATTTTAAAAAACCTGCAATATGTAATGTATTCCTTATTCAAAGACAGTCAAAATTTTAAAACAAAATATGAAAAGACAGTGATTATAAATCCTTTTAAACTTTCAGTCCTAAATTATGGTTTTCATCATTGCCTCAAATCCTTTGTGAAATGAAGCAGGAAAAAAAATACATTAATGTTACTGCCACCTTGAACTGAAGGCTGTGTTACAAAATAACAACAATAAAAAAATTATGAAACTCTGTGGTTAATACTGA